CAGTAAATGAAAAATGCATGCAAAGTTTTGGCTTTCCCCCTTTATAATCTTTTTTTAAGCCATACACAAGCAATCACTGTTTTGCATCTTGCAATCAAGTTAATAATATAGACAAAATGTTCCAAAGAAGGAATAGAGGCCAGCTACCTAGTTTTCTTATTCAGGATTTACAGTAAATGACTCCCCCCCATTTTTTTTCCAAAGTCTGCCATCTCTACAAATATAAATACATTCATGAACTCCATCCCATGGATTTTGGAAAAAGATACTATAGTTCTGAAAATAAATTCCATATGAAATTTATTGTGGGACAATGGAGCTTGGCATTCAAACCTGTAGGGATGCTTTTTTTGTGTGTGTGCCCCCCCTCCGGTCTAAATGTTCTTTTCTCCTCTTCTGCCTGAAGCATGGCTGGACCCAACCATGAGCACATGGGGGGGGGGGGAGTTAATGATTTTGTGACATGCAAAGGTTTTGCTTTGAGAGAGACTGAAGGAAAAGGGAAGAGGGAGAGAGGAAAATTTTCCAGGGTTAAAAGAGGGAAAAATCGTGGTTTTTTTTTTTTTCTTACAGCTTTTCCTGCTAAATTAGCCAGCTTGCCTTCATGGTGTTTCACTTCTGTTCTTCTCTTCTGCTAGCCCTGCAAATTGAAAAGAAGGTGGGAAAAAACAGTTCTTTTCCTGTTTCTAAAGTTAAGCTGGTGGTGACAGGGAGCAAGGAGAGAAAGAGAAAGGAACTTGTTTATGCTTCTTTTAATATCTCCCTTCTGTTTTACATTTGCAGTCTTTTCAAAAGATACAGTCCTGGCCCTGCCAAGATTCCTAAAGAGATATCCTGAGAAATGTAGACCAGTTTCCCCAACCCAGATTCAAAGAAAACAAATGTCAGGCCAGCTATTGATATGAAATAGTTTAAAAATGAGAAAAAGCTGCCTCAGAGCTAGGTTTACATTAAACTCCATTTCAGCAAGGAAAGGGAAGGGAGCCGCCAAGGAATTTCCCTCAGCTAAGGAAGAAAAAGTACCAGGGCAGGGTGGAAAAGGCTAAAATTACCTGCCAGCGAGGTGTCCCAAAAAATTGGGTCCTAGTCCTTAGCAATCATGGGGCCAGGAGGAAAAGGAATGCAAGGTTACCACGGGTAGTCCTCAACTTAACAACAGTTTGTTTAGTGGCCATTCCAAGTTACAACAGCACTGAAAAAAGTGATTCGTTTACCACTTTATTTATTGCAGCACCCCCGTGGTCATGTAATCAAAAGTCAGACGCTTGGTAACCGACTCGTATTTATGACCGTCGCAGTGTCCCGGGGATTGTTATCTCCTTTTGGGATCTTTTGATAAGCAAAGTCAACAGGGAAGCCGGGTTGACTTAGGATCCGTGTTGCTAATTTAACAACTGCAGCGATCCACTTAAAGACGGTGACAAGAGAGGGCATAAAATGGGGCACAATTCACTTAACTGTCTTCGCTTAGCAACAGAGATGCTGGGCTCAGTTGTGCTTGTAACTAGAGGGTTACCTGTATAAAGTTGACATCCAGGGAGGAAGGGAGACAAAATCGTTTCCATCCAAAACAGTTTTTAAGAGAAGGAAAGCGGGGGATTAGCAAGCAAGTGGGGCATGTCATCCCCAGCCCGGCCACACCCTGCAATTGCTGAGTTAACCCTGCCCAGAGGGTGCCTCCAGGGTGGGACTTGTTCAATGACATCATTGCACATGCTGTCCTACCTAGCATTTCTCCATTTCTTCGTAAAAAAGCCCATGATGGGAAAGTGGTTTCCCTCATATGGATTCAGGATCCTGTGTGAATGGATCACGGCGACCCAGGTCTTGACTTAGGTATAACAATAATAATAATAATAATAATAATAATAATAATAATAATAATAATAATAATAATAATAATAATAATAAGAAGAAGAAGAAGAAGAAGAAGAAGAAGAAGAAGAAGAAGAAGAAGAAGAAGAAGAAGAAGAAGAAGAAGAAGAAGAAGAAGTTGGAAGGGACCTTGGAGGTCATCTAGTCCAATCCCCTGCTCAAGAAGGAAACCCTATACCATTTCAGACAAATGGCTGTCCAGTCTCTTCTTAAAAACTTCCAGGGTTGGAGCATTCACCGCTTCTGGAGGCAGGTGGTTCCACTGGTTAATTGTTCTCACTGTCAGGAAGTTTCTCCTTAGTTTTAGGTTGCTTCTCTCCTTGATTAGTTTCCATCCGTTGCTTCTTGTTCAGCCTTCAGGCGCTTTGGAGAATAACTTGACTCCCTCTTCTTTGGGGCAGCCCCTGAGATATTGGAACACTGCTATCATGTCCCCCCTCGTCTTTCTCTTCCTTAAACTACTAGACATACCCAATTCCAGCAGCCGTTCCTTATATGCTTTAGCCTCCAGTCCCCTAATCATCTTTGTTGCTCTTCTCTGTACTCTTTCCAGAGTCTGATTTTACAGGCATGATTTTACAGGCATGACATTCCCTCTTTCTGCATGCAGTAATAAGCCTTCAAAAACCCGGATGGATTGCTTTCGAAATGTATCCTTCAATTCTCCAATGACCTTTCCAAGGCTGGAGCGACAGGCGGATGCTCTCCCAGGATCCTCTGTTCACGAATATCCTTCCCATTCCCCATTCATTCATTCCCATTTATACCCTGCTTTTTCTTCCAGAGTTCAAATATATAACACTGCTTCCCCCCCCAATAGCAATCACCCTGTGAGATAGCTAGACCAGGGTTTTTCACCCTTGTCAACTTTAAGATGGGTGAACTTCAACTCCCAGAATTCCCCAGAAAGCACACTTTCAGATTGGCAAGGTTAATGTTAGTCTTACCAGGCAGATCAGAGGGGAAACACAACCGGATAAACTAATTATACTTCATTGTAAAGCTACATGAACAGAATTTTGCACATCTGAAAGTACAATTCTCCCCTTGTCCCTTTTACAGCCTGAAAAACTAGGGAAGCCCATTCTGAGTCTCTTGCCTTACCCAGTATCCAGCTGCAGGCTAAGCTCTCTTATCTGACCAGGTAGCAGCTTTTTGCCCAGGGGTAGGCAACCTTGGCTCTTTTATGACTCGTGGACTTCAACTCCCAGAATTCCTGAGCCAGCCATGCTGAGGGGAAAGGGAGAAGTTTCCAAGCTGAGCCGTGCTGGCTCAGGAATTCTGGGAGTTGAAGTCCACGAGTCATGGAGGGGCCACAGTTCCTCCATCCTGGCTGAGGAATTCTGGGAATTGAAGTCCACCAGTCATGAAGGGGCCATATTTCCTCCATGCTGGCTCAGGAATTCTGGGAGTTGAAGTCCACGAGTCATGGAGGGGCCACAGTTCCTCCATCCTGGCTGAGGAATTCTGGGAATTGAAGTCCACCAGTCAAGAAGGGGCCATATTTCCTCCATGCTGGCTCAGGAATTCTGGGAGTTGAAGTCTACGAGTCATAAAAGAGCCAAGGTTGCCTACCCCTGTTTTTGCCCATCTCCCATAGTCTTTCCCACATACCATTCCAATAGCTGACATCTGTGTATCCTCTCCTTTCTATTTACTTATCAGTGTATTGGATTTCATCCAATTACTTTGACTTCACGCACTACCAACAGTAAGTTTATTTACGGTAACTAGCCAATTAAACAAAGCATACACACCTATGCACACAAGCAAGACACTTCAGCGTCATAAAACTTTTTAATTCCCATCCCTGCCCTGCAGACAAAATCCCTTTTATTTTTCATTGTCTACATGCTATATGACTTTCCTTTCACAAATGAGGCATGAGAGATTTAAATATTCAAGCAGCTTAAGAACCCCCAGCTAGATTTTAAGGTGGGTCCCATCCCCATAAATCACACGTGTCAGAACTTCGTTTTAAAATCCAACCATGTTTCCTGAAGCCTTCCTGACCACTGATTTCCTAGTTGGTTCCTTCCCTTTGTTGTTATATGTGGCTCCAAACACTTGGCTTCACACCCTACCGCAATAAAGTAACAATACTACAATTGGGAAATGAGAAAAATATATGCCAGATGAACCAGAAACAGAGTCAATGATCTAAATGCTACTTTAGAAATTTTTGGTTCTTGAATTGTCCTGCAGTTAGAATAACAAAGTAGAAAAATTCAGGAGCATGGGAATCTATAAATATATGAACGGAATTTATTTACAAGTTGAAATATCAACTAGCATATGCAACAGTATCCCCAGGAGAGATCAAAATCTGCAAAGTGGGAGGTGTAACATCTGCCAAGGATGTCACTGCCATGTCTTGTGCCTCTAAGCTGTGGATCAGTTCAGTAGACTTGTCTATATTCTCAACTTTTAGTATCCAGAGGGAAGACAAGTGACAACGCAGATGTCTTAATCTCACAGTGCAAATTAACATCATTTGCCCAATGCTGTCATATGATAATCTATATAATCTCCCCATCGCTTCTTCCAGACATCTCTGTCTTCAGCCATGCTCAAACCAGACAGTGATACTCTAATTTGAACCATGTTGACTATTTACAGATAAGCAATAGATTTGCACAAGCCAGTTTTTCTACCTCCAGCCAAATAACAAGCAGCCGATTGCTTACAGTCACCTACCTCTCCAGAAGCAAATCTTGGTTTAGTAAACTACAACATAGTATTTTGGGTTAGGATGGTAACCAGGCGTAAAGGCAACAAACCCTAATAGCTCTTAATCATGCCTATCCTGGATTACTATTCTGTGATACCCCTAACTAACCAGGCTGGCCAGAAGTTCTCCCTGCAAATTCATCCAAAGGACACGAGACTAGGGACGCTATTTGGCTCGGCCCAGAAAAAGAACATTTTGTGGAACGCTACATTAATAGTACATTAGAAATAAAATGCCATGCCCCGTTTCCCAAAGCAGCAAGACCCAAGCTTCTCCCATTATCCAGAATCACTGCTAGCAAGCCCTCAGTGGGGTTCCCTATTTACAAATGCTGAAAGATTTTGGTTCTGAAGAGCAAGCAAGCCAGCCAAGGACATAATGAAAAGACACGCACCTTCACAGCTGGGCCACCACTGTTCCTCCACCTCCCAACCCAACGGATGAGTGGCTTTTTGCAGGAGAATAGAAAACATGAACCCTCCATACAAATAAATAAAATCCCATTAGAAGAGAGACTCCACCCTCTTGAATCAGCTCAGCTGCTCCCCTTTTCCTGCCCTTGTTTTGCCCTTTAAGGATGATTGACAAGCCTAGATTTAAATGAGGATTTTGTGGGTTTAAAGCATGTGACCCATTTTCCCCCTTGTTTTCTTCATTAACCTCTTTTTTTTATCAAAATCCAGCCCAGGGTTTTCTCCTCTCTAACATTTTTCTTTCTTTTTTTTTTCCTGGACTTTTTCACTCCTTTCCCAGTGGGATCCACGTTCCAGCTTTACCCTTTTGCGTACGTTGACAACTACTTTGAAATCCCTGAAGGGTCCCATCGCCAGCTTTGCTTCAAATGGAAGATCAGCACCAGCTGAAAGGTGAATTTGAAAAGACTGCCCTGAGCCCGATTCACAATTTTTTTTATACCCCATCCGTTCCAAGTAGTCCTCGACTTACAATCATTCATTTAGTGACCATTTGACGTTGCATTACTGTAAAAAGTCCTCACACGTATGACCATTGCAGCATCCCCAGAGTCATGTGATCAAAGTTTGGATGCTCCACAACTGACATGTATTTACAACCGTTGCAGCATCCAGGGATCATGTGATCACCATCTGCAACCTTCCCAACCAACTGGATTTGCTTAACAGCCATGGGAAGAAGGTGGTAAAATTGGATGGGGCCCAACAGCCACCTTGCTTAACAACAGAAATGCTGTCCCAATCGTGTAAGTTGAGGACTACTTGTATAATGGAAATTATGAATCATGAGGTCTCCATCTCTTTTTATGCATCTCGGATTAAACCTTTTGTGTGAACACAACCAACTCTCGTTTACCAGCAAACACAGAGAGTTTAACACAATGTGCGACCCGGGTCAGTGCTTTTAATTTGGTGGACAGAGAGCAAAATGTCTCCAGATTTTTTTGTTCGGGAACATATGGCTTCCATCTGCATGGCACTTATTGGCCTAACAGAATTAACACACAATGCTATGTTCACAGAATAGGTTTAAACTGGCTCATCAATTAAAACACGCTTTAGGTTTGCACCAGGTATGGATTCGTACAAACCCCACCTCCATCAAACAACACAAAAAACATATTTGACCTAACCAAGATTGAATCTGATCACATTCAGCTTATTATTCGAATGCAGACACTGGTTTTAACTGACTTGGCTAAGCGTGTTGTAAGACTCCAGTCTTGAATTTTTTTCTACTTAAAAATGAAGCAATGGTGAACCCTACTATTTGCAGAAGGAAAACCTGGGAGCCCAATTCTGAATCCATAGAGAATTTTTTAGGATTTGATTAATGGTTTGGTGCTACTTGTACAAACAAGTTAAATAATATCCAGTTCCTATAGGATAGTCTATGGGAGCTTTTCCAGACAAAAATGATTCCCTGGCAACTATACAACCCAGTTTTTTTTTTTTTTTAATGTTAAGACGGTGCTTGGAAAACTTCTACTCTTACACAATTGCTTTTCAAAGAACCATTCTCCAAACCCAAGTCTTTTTAAGATTCACCAGAAATAAAAGAAAAAAATATGATTTTGAATGGAGATCCCTTTGGCAGTCTCTTTTGCTCACCGCCCTTAATATCACTCCCTTTACAATTAAGTGGAAGAATTCTAGCTGCGAATAGATATGAACTCAAATCAAATTCTTGGTATCAGATATAAATAGCAAACTTGCAAACACAAATGAGGGGGAAAAAATAGCTTCCCCTACATTCCTTGAAAACACAGGAGTTACAGCGGAAACTTGACAGACCTTTCAGCAGCCATAGACTCAGCCCTCTGCAAACATACTGAGGATAGGGTGTAATTCTTTCCGTACACTTAGAATAAATTCCAGACACGTGTCTAACAAAGTTCAAAACGCCACGGGACATTTGAACAAAAGCAACAGATGGGACACAGAACGGCCATGGTGGTGGGGGGGAGGCGGATCAAATATTTCCTAGCAAAACAGACAAATGAAGGCCCCACTCAATCAGGTCATGGACTAGCCCAAAGGAAAATGAAGACAATATGCAGAAGCCTGATTACATGCTAGAGCTGAACTCTTCAAACTGTGTTTTGTAAGAATTCAATGGGGTTTGGTAACAGAACCCCCCCCCAAAAAAGTTCACTCAAATGCAACTGATTTTCTATCACAAGAGCCTTGGCTGTTGATCAGGGATTCTGGCATTTTTATTTAGGTCAACAGGTTAGTACTGCTTTATAAAGCCTTGGTAGGACCACACTTGGAATACGGCATCTAGTTTTGGTCATCACAAGAATAAAAAAGAGATGTTGAGACTCTGGAAAGAGTGAAGAGCAACAAAGATGATTAGGGGACTGGAGGCTAAAACATATGAACAATGGTTGCAGGAATTGGCTTTGTGTAGTCTAGTGAAAAGAAGGACTATGTCTGAGCATGCACAGTCTTATTGCGCTGAGATAACCAAGAAGTAAATATAGTATACAGTGGTCTATATTAAATGGTGGTTTATATTATACTATCTACAATATACACTAGGAACAAAATACATACACGTGGTAATGCAGCAAACTCCAACACACAACAATTACAGCAGGAAACAGACGAGAGAGAACACAGCAGCAAAAGGCTTCCCTTTTATACTTAGGCTCTTAAAGGGATACATACACATTGCTGAGTCATTCCTATCATTGCATTATTCACCTTACATTACATCAACTGGTTAGCCTTTAAATCATTATCCTGACAGACTAGGATTGACATAATAGCAGTGTTCCAATATTTGAGGGGCTCCTATAAAAAAGAGGGGGTTGACCAAAGACCTGAGAGCAGGGCAAGATGCAATGGATGTACATTACCCAAGAGAGATCTAACCTAGAACTAAGGAGAAATTTCCTGACAGTGAGAGCAATCAACCAATGGAATGGCTTGCCTTCAGAAGTTGTGGGTGCTCCATCACTGGAGGCTTTTAAAAAAAGACTGGACAGCCATTTGTCTGAAATGGTGCTTGATCATGGGGTTGGACTAGAAGACCTTCAAAGTCCCTTCCAACTCTGGTATTCTGTTCTGTTCGTAGAGCTGATGCAGCCTGGAAAAGTTTGAAAGCCCTTGAGTTAAAGCAGTGTGTATAATAAGCACAGACAACTTCTACTTTTCCAAAGCTGACGAAAGCGCAGTCACTGATTCACCTCTGCTAGAAAGGCAGGAAATCCAATTTTCAACTTGTACTAACAAGCTTGTTTTACTGAAAATACGTTTGAAAAAAAAACAAAAACGGAAAACTAGCGCTACTGTTATTTAGCGACTTTCCAGCATCTCTGCCACACAGGGCTTTAAGGGAACACACAAGCTGCTCACCTCAGCATAAAACTTTGGGGTTCTCAAACTGAAGGTGGGGGTCCCCCAGGGGATCATAGGCAACTTCAAGAGAGGTCACACCCTCCACCCCAGGACAAACCAGACAAACCAGTATGCAAGTGGACTGAAAGCTCTCTCGAAATTTGCCCCGGGCTTTGATCCCTGCTTTGAAACCACGAGTTTGATCATGCAAAGTTGGAGCAGGTTTTGACCGCATTTCCGCTTTGCCTGGGCGGTTGGAAGAAGATATCCACTAATAGACCAATTTTCTGTTCTTCCAGGCACTTGAGCTTCCAGAAGACTGGGAGACCAGCACTGAGAAGTAACCCAAGTGGGAACATTTGCAACGATCACCTATGGCACTCAGCCAAATGCCTTCCAACCCCAACTTTAAGAATCAACTTAAGTCAGCGGTTCTCAGCCTGTGGGTCGGGACCCCATTTGGGGTCGAACGACTATTTCACGGGGGTCGCCAAACGACGCAGTCCGCCATTTTCCCCCCCTTTTCCTTAGCTGTGCTACTCCCTTTTATTCTATTGGCTTTTGAAAGCCAATAGAATAGACTCTCTTGAATAGAGTCTAACTCTATTGGCTTTCAAAAGCCAATGGGAATTGTCCAGGATGTCTCTGCCTGCTGAGCCCGCCAAAAGTCCCATTTTGCAAACAGTGCTGCAAGTTGTCTGCAGCGAAGGCGAGCTGTCTGGAAGTTTCCACCCCTCCCTACTGAGCAACTACTAAAAATGTAAGTAAAAGAGGGCCAGGAGTGGGAGGTGGGAGGCTGGTGGGCGCAGGGAGGGTTGCTGGCGCACGTGGGACCCGGCAGATGCCTTACCTCCCTTGGGCTGGGCCAGCTGGTGGCCCAGCCAGTGGTTGGCCTGTGTCGTCTCTGCCGCTTGCCAGCTACGCCTCAGCCAGCGCAGGGGGCAGCACCACGCATGCGCGGCGCTCCTGGGCAGGGAAAGTCCTCGACTTACGACTGGTTGGGTAGTCCTCGACTTACGACCAGTTGGGTAGTCCTCGACTTACGACCGGTTGGGGGGTGCAGCATTAAAAAGGTTGAAACTACTGACTTAAGTGATGATTCTTCCTACCAGCAGGTGACATGGGTTGGAGAGCAAACCAAAGTTAGGGGAATCTAACAATCATGGCTCTTCAAATGTACAGTCAGGAGCAATCCCTGTTCTCATTACAGAGACAGATCAGAGCTCTGCTATCAGGGCATCACAGATTATTTTTCAACCTGTTTCAAGAGTGAAGGAATACACAACAATGCAACCATGACTTAGATTTACAACAGGAAAGATGTAAAGTTTATCACCACTATAAGAACTTGAGGTGGAGGGGGTGGGGCTGGTTTCACCATCCTTAAATGATGTGGTGGAATGTAGTCTGGATTCCCAGGAGGAAGGAACTGCATTTCTGAGAGTAAAGAGGCAACACGTGAAGTATCAATACCACTTTACAATGCCTTGGTAAGGCCACACTTGGAATACTGCATCCAGTTTGGGTCACCATAATGTAAAAAAGATGCTGAGACTCTAGAAAGAGTACAGAGAAGAGCAACAAAGAGGATCAGGGGACTGGAGGCTAAAGCATATAAGGAACGGCTGCTGGCATTGGGTATGTCTAGTTTAAGGAAGAGAAGGACGAGGGGGGACATGATAGCAGTGTTCCAATATCTCAGGGGCTGCCACAAAGAAGAGGGAGTCAAGCTATTCTCCAAAGCGCCTGAAGGCAGGACAAGAAGCAACGGATAGAAACTGATCAAGGAGAGAAGCAACCTAGAACTAAGGAGAAACTTCCTGACAGTTAGAACAATTAACCAGTGGAACAACCTGCCTCCAGAAGCGGTGAATGCTCCAACACTGAAAGTTTTTAAGAAGAGACTGGACAGCCATTTGTCCAAAATGGTATCGGGTTTCCTGCCTGAGCAAGGGGTTGGACTAGATGACCTCCAAGGTCTCTTCCAACTTTATTATTATTATTATTATTATTATTATTATTATTATTATTATTATTACTACTACTACTACTACTACTATTACTATTATAAAACTTAGTTTGGTTGGAAAAAAAAGAGTTAAGATGGCTCCCCCCTAGACATTCTCATAATATATAGCTAAATGATGCAAATAGTTGCTTTAGTTTGCCAAGATTTCTATAG